CTTTTATTGCAATAAATGTTTATTTACTGAGGCCTTACAATAACCTTTGGTTTCAGCGTATTTTGTTCATGATTATGACTTCATAACTTGCACCACGATCACCTTCAGCCAGGCTGGTGTTAGATTATCTCGCCAACGCAATGTATAGTAGGCTAACGATCATATGGTCAGTACATGGTAGTGGTTCCCCGCTACAGCTGTTTGAAGGCGGAAAATTCAGTGAAATCTGAAAAAAATTTCAAAGAATAAGAAGCCCTGCCAGTGATCACATTCATATTGGTCATCATAATCACTAATTAGTCCAATATTCATCAAGATCCTAATTTATTGACATGCAAAATTTATATTTTGTATTCCACAAATTGAAGCAAATTTTTCTAAAAAGTAAGTTTTCCCTCTGAAAGTTTCATATAAAGCATTGAAGTGACTATTAATACAATGGCTTCTTTTCAAACCCTTTACGTTCGCTAATATTAACATCAATCGACATAAAAATTTAGAATTAATATCAGTGTCTATAAATAATCCAAATACTTTGGATTCGCTTCGATGAAGATGAAACTTATTTAAAAACTGTTAAAGCCCCAATGACACGTTACCAATATATCGATAATTAATTCAACGAATGCTTTTATTCTGGTCTCTCATACATATTAACACACCCACCCATGAAATTTAGATGAGCACAGAATATTCATATTACAGGGAAGATTTTCATTCATTCATTCCTGATTCATTCTCATGTAAAATAAAAATTTACTTTTAAAACAAGTTTATTATTCCATGGAGTTTAAATTCGAGGTTTTTTGTATTAAAAAATGCATTTGAACTTTTTTTGTATTTTCAAATTTAAAAATTTGTTTGCAGAAAAACGGGGTAAGAAAATAAACGAGTTTCGACCAATTTTTGCTTTACCGCATTGGGATTTGCAACAGTGGGAGCAGCTCCCCTCCCCCTGGGAGACTGAACCCTCCCTAACGTCCCTAATGTTGGGAGTTATTATGAGGGAATGCCTCATAAATCATTGCTTCGCTGTTATTACGCATCATAATCACCATTTTGCTGCCCCGTTCATCATTAATCTTGTTTCCATTTTACGACAGTCGATGTTGACTCACGGGTCACGAACAGGACATTTGTATAAGAAAATTAAAAGATTACAGCGTAATAAATTTCATAAATGCAATTTCGCTGAAAAATTGTAAAGATCTTCATCATAGGCGAACAAATCACGAGTTTTATTTTATCGAACAGCAGTACCCGAAAATCATTATATATTTTTACCTTTATTCATTTATTAAAAATCATTTCATTACTTATCAATCCAAACAGATCACAAAAGAAAATTTGCACCAAGATTTCAAGTTTGAAACAGTATTGTAAAGATTTTCCAAAATTGGTTCTTTTGAAAGTAGTCAAATTTCAATCCTATGGGATGTAATAAAAATGTTGTGAAAAGTGAAATTATTATTATAATAATTATAGGTGAAAAAATGTAAGTAACATTATTCAAGCGAAGCAAGGAAAATACGGTCAAGGACAGGATAGCCATGCCACCAAAATCAAATCTTTATAGGATCTGTTTTCTCTCAAATTTTCAGCTCAGTATACAATAACATATATAGATAAACGCGTTTAGATTATTAAAATCTTGCTCTTAGATTATTATTTAAAGATTATTAAAAACTCGCACAGGTTATCCGTTGATAAAATTACAGCTTAAATTAAATTATAAAAAAGCAAAATAAATGAAACGCCTTCGTGTCCTTTGCATTTTGTTTCCGCTTATTTCATTTCACAAAATCCAAGCTAAAACTGCAATATACCAAGTACAGTAAAGTAAAAACGTTCATATGCGCACCGCAGTATCCGCTGTAAAGTAAGAGTAAAAACGTTCATATGCGCACCGCAGTATCCGCTGTAAAGTAAAAGTAAAAACGTTCATATGCGCACCGCAGTATCCGCTGTAAAGTAAAAGTAAAAACGTTCATATGCTGTCTCTTATACACATCTAGATGTGTATAAGAGACAGTTTCNATTTGAGCGAAGTAACGGAAATTATTATATAAATAAATGCCTTTTTTACGAACCAAATAGACTTCTGACGCATCCTAAATTGACACAATGATTATGAACAAAAAGACAAAAAGGGTCCAGTTGCATACATAGAAATTCAATTATTTCAAATAATGGTACTTACTATTTAAAATTCATTAATTACATTTAATTTTATATTTATTTGACATTCAACAATTACCTGGAGTTGTGCTCCATGTGACCCGTGGCTCCCAGCCTACGCAGGCTGCGTTTCTGGAGGCTGAATAAAAGATGGTTATTGAATTAAATCTAATTAAACATTAACTAATTGGTATCAAATAACTTAATATTCAATTAAACAAATAAATTAATTACGCGGCCGGCAGATAAATTTTTTATACTTTTAAATATTTAAATAGTTAGATGTCCTACTTCTCAGCCTGATGGTCCAAGAACTCCTAGAAATTCCTTAATAATCCTCTAAATTAATTATTATGTGGATTTTTAATATATATATTGCAGTATTTCTGCATAATAGGAGATGTTTATCAGTGATAATGAAGGAAATATTCGACAGAGCGCAGCAGAAAGATAGAATGGTAATGACACGTTAAATATTGGAGAATTTGATAATGTTTTGTACGATAATGGTGAGCGTGACAAAGGTGGTATGATAATTGCGGGCATGCAAGTGGAAATAGGTATGATCTGATGGTGGTTTATTGATGCTGATTGTCGACAATGATGATTGTCGATGATGATGATTGTCGATAACGATGATTGTCGATAATGATGATTATCGATATTGATGATTATCGATATTGATGATTGTCGATGATGATGATTGTCGATAATGATGATTGTCGATAATGATGATTATCGATATTGATGATTGTCGATGATGATGATTGTCGATAATGATGATTATCGATATTGATGATTATCGATATTGATGAATGTCGATAATGATGACTGTCGATAATGATGATTGTCGATAATGATTATTGTCGATAATGATTATTGTCGATAATGATGATTATCGGTAATGATGATTGTCGATAATGATGATTGTCGATGATAATGATTGTCGATAACGATTATTGTCGATAATGACGTCTATCGATAACGATGATTGTCGATAATGATGCTTAACAATGATGATGAGTATCGATAATGATGATTGTAGATATTATTAATTATCGATAATTATGATTATTGTCGATAACGATGTTTGTCAATGATGCTGAATGTCGATAATGATTATCGATAATGATGTTGTAAATAATGAATCTTTTGGTCGACAATAACCGATTTAAAATTACAGTTCATGATATCAAATGGTTAAACCTATTTCATTTCGGTTTATACCGCTAATGCGTAATCCTTTTAATGCTTAATCTTATTACATAAAGTCTTCTCATTACTAATTTACCCATAGAATAAATAAACTCATTCCTGAACTATTAGAATAACTCGTATACTAGAAAATTTATTCCTCGAATACTTAAGCACTCATTAAATTCTTTTTTGAGTTATATATTCCAACCACGAAACAAACTCTTGAAGAAGTGAAATAATTATTTACACACCATAGTTCCACTAGTTGTTGTTGTTGAGCAACTAGTGTGCACTAGTTCCACTAGTAAAACTAGTTCCACTAGTACACACTAGTTCCACTAGTACACACTAGTTCCACTAATAAACTCTAGTTCCACTAATAAACACTAGTTCCGCGAGCTTCTACATCGCTTGTACACATCACCTACCTGTTGATGTAGGCGTAGATGAGGGCAAGAAGGGCGTATGTGATGGCGGTTGCCAGCCACAGCTCGAGTGATAGCGGCGACAACAGCAGCGTGTACGGTGATGGGGGAGCGTCTGGTCTATACAGCGCTGAATCTTTTTAAAGCAGTACGAAGTACCATTTTAGAGCATTGTTGTAAAATGTTTTAAATATCATCGTAAAGTATCATGAGGTATCATTGTAAGGTAGCATTCAAAAATATCACAGTAAAGTATCATAGAAAAGTATTATTATAAAATAACCTCATAAACATCATCAAAAAGTATCATGGTAAAGTATGAAGTAAACTATGACTCACGCTAGACACGGTAACACCGCGAGCACGTGGAGTGTTATACACTTCCAGAAGGCTCTGTTGGCCATGTGGAGTGTTAGACACTTCACGGTACACTTGTTGGCCATTTGGCTTGCAAATTTGTGCTATGACTCCATGAGAGATTCCATGCGAAGATTCACCATGCAAAGATTCACTGACTCCAGGATTCAGACTCTCCGATGTTGGCAGTGATTCAGCTTTTTTGCTGGCCATGCAATCTTCGGAGGTTGCGGGGCGCAAGCAAAGCTCGTGGCAAATTACCGACCACGCAGAAACCTTTCCAGTAGAAGGATTTGAAATATTTATTAGCTACGTGAAGGAATGAATGGAAAATGTATGCAATTATTATTATTATATAGAATGGAATAACATATAGAACATGCGTATTAACTCTTCGGAGGGTGGCAACTGCAAGCAAAGGTTTTGCATGTCACCGACCCAGGCAAAGATTGTCAATAGAAGGATATATATAATCTAGATTATCTAGATATAGAATAAAGAGTATCTAGATGCAGAATATAGGGTATCTTGATATATAATCTATGGTATCCAGATATATAATCTAGAGTACCTGGATAAAAAATTGAACAGGTAATATGTAATATATATATCATAGCATGGCAGAATATAGGACATTGAAAACATTAATCAACGATAAGATAATCATAATTTATGGAAGAGAAATGTATAGTTTGAGAAGTGACACGTGCCCTGGTGGCGCCTCTGTTCGCCCTGACGACGATAATCAATGATTTCATAATATATCATAATTTATTATCAAGGTTAACTTATAAGATGACAGGACGGGGATGTCCAGACGGGCGCTGCTGCCCCCCACGCCCGTCAGACGGGCGCTGCCGCCCCCCACGCCCGTCTGCGGCGGACCAGCGACATCAAGGTTAACTTATAAGATGACAGGACGGGGATGTCCAGACGGGCGCTGCCGCCCCCCACGCCCGTCAGACGGGCGCTGCCGCCCCCCACGCCCGTCTGCGGCGGACCAGCGACATCAAGGTTAACTTATAAGATGTCATATTTATATTCATCAAAATATCTGAAATTAAACATCAAAATTCAATGATTTTGTGATTTCGCTAGGTAATAATCGAAAATAATAGATTCTTCATCTATTTCCTTGAGGCTTATTTATTTATTTTTACTCATATATAAGGCATTTTTTCAAGTCAGTACTGTTTTGATATTAAAAAAGACGTTCAATTATATCGCAATAATTTTATTTTTACATGAAAGCCTGTACCTTAATGTACTTTTCTACATAATTTCCGTGAATATCGAGACACTTGTCATAACGTGGCACCAGTTTTTGAAAAACCTCTTGGTAAAATTCTGCCGCCCGACTTATTAACCTGTTAACCACTGCATCACAAATGAAGAGTGCAGTGTGATGTATTTGGTGCATCAAGTGCAGTGTGATGCATCACACTGCATCAAATGCATCTCACTGCACTTGAAGAAACACCTGGGCGGTCGGCGTCTCCAAGACGATAACGAAGTCAAAACATTTGTGATGCAGTGTTAACAAGCCAGGCGGCAGAATTTGATCAGGAGGGTATTCAAAAGCTGGTACCACGTTATGACAAGTGCCTCAATATTCACAGAAATTACGAAGTAGAATAAGGTACAGGCTTTCCGCGGAAAAATAAAATTATTGCAATATCTTTGCGCGTGTTTTTTAATTCCGAAACAGTACTGACTTAAAAAACATGCGTCGTATAACAAAAAATAACTATGTTCACTTATATTGATTACACTATTTTCCTCTAAAGAAAAAGTGATAATTAAGTATGCGTTCATGACGAACCTCAAAAATTTCTTGGTTATAAGTTTTTAATAAGGATACGTCAAAACATTTGAGAGGCTTAACGACACTTTAAATACTTCTAAGTTACTGTACGAGATTTTAGGCAAGTTCAACTTATTTATCAACAGTTCTAATTACTTTCTACACTCCAATATTCAGTAGATCTTTCGACATGCACCTTCTTCAGAGATAAGCATATCTTACTTTAAGCTCGTTAATTGGAAGAATATTTTTCATTTCAGGCATTGAGAGAGTAGCTGGTCGAAGTTCTCAATATTTAGCCTTCACTTTTCCTTCAAATCAGATAAGCTACCATACAAATTTCCATCAGTAAATGACCCTCGTGGGTTGAAGGAAATGTGCGCCTGTAAAGGTTTTTCTATCAAAGTAATTCGTAAAAATGGTCAAGCGATGGGAATCTTAAAAATGGCCATGGGATGCGATTCGTAAAAATTGCCATGGCATGGGATTCGTAAAATTTTTCATGGAATGGGATTCGCAACAAAGGTTATGGTATGGGATTCATAAAAATGGCCTTGGGATGGGATCAGGCCATTTGAGCGCCAGTTCAATATGGCTAAAAGCAATATGGCGACCATCGCTAGCCCGGATTGCTCGGAAAAGTCGTAAGAAACTCAGATTGGAAAACTACAAGCTGATAATTAAATATTTAATTGGAATTTCTCAGATTTATAACACTTGTGATTTGCTGAGTTACGGATATGAAGATAGTGTTCACTCAGGAAAATGAACGCATCAAATTATTTGAGAATTACCCATTTTCTTGCTCTCTGCACGAGTCTCTGACAAACACAAAGGAAAATAGTGCATCGGTATTTGGACAAAGTTTCACTCATTTCTCTCAGTGTTCGATTAATTAAAGACGTTAGTGAATTTATTCATGAGGAAGAAGACTTCAAGGACTAAACTTTTAAAAAGATCGATAATGCAGGATTTGTTGAGGTTTGTGTTATATGTTTAAACTTCACTGAATATTTATTAATTGAACATTTCAAAACTTCACTTTCACCAATAAAAAACTAAAATTATGGACACTGAATTTATCAAGAGATGATATTTAGAGACGGCAATTAAATCTCATTACGAACAATATTATTAATTGTCGAATTGATTGTAATGAAAATTATGCAAAATAATACACACACGAATAGAGATTTATTAGATGTTGATGAGTATAATATCTGAAACCTTGAGGATAAAAAACAAAATTCAGCTTTTTCTACATCTTCTACCATTTGACTTTACCATGACTTTAATAAATGTGCTAAAAAATTTTATGCATTAGAGCACAACATTTTATGTCATGATGCTAAATTGTCATTGCCATACTTTTTATTATTTTTTGAGCACTTTTTTCAGTCGAGCATTTTTTTATTATTCTTTCTAGCAATTATAATTGCTATAATTTTTTATTAGTTTCCCGAGCGAAAACTTTTAATTTGACTATTATCACAAATAATTTTTTCATAAATTCATGCATCTGCTATTTTGTTCTCTTGACTGGAGGATTTGAGGCCTCCAGTCAAGGAGGCCTCAAAATTCATACTTCCATATTCAATTTACTAGAAGTTACGTATTCATTAAATGAATAATTATTTACTTTAAGCTAAGAAATTAAACTATTCAAATTATATTTATTTCAACAATTCATATATATAATAACTTAATTTTTTAAAAAATTTGTTTGTGACTAAGGTAACATTATTTACGCAATAAAATAAACTTTTAAACTGTATAAATAATTTTTAAATACATTATTAATAATAATTACTGACAGGACAAGACGCCGCCGGTGGCATAGGCCTAAGCCATTTATTTTTGATGCGGCCTAGGGCGCCGCTCTCCTGCAGCTGCAGCAGCGCCGTGTTCACCTCACTCAGGTGGGGGGAGTCTGCCCAGTTCACATGAATTAACTAATAAATTAAATCAGCATTATAAACTATTATTTTTTCATTCACATGAATAAAATTGAAATTCAAATGAGATATTTTGCACCGGGGTTAGCTTGCTTACACGACGTGTCTGTAAGTTATTCATATATACACGACTATGAATGATGAATGATTATATACTACAGTATAAACAATTGGAAATGAATTAATAATCAAATTAGCTGACGTGTTATTTCAGTGAGAGTTCAAGTGACATCAAGTTGATCGTGGACGTCCACTATTGATATGTTTATACAAATATTTTCCAATATTCAACAATTATTCTGAGCTCCTCATTTTTCATAATGAAGTAATTTGAAATATATTAAACCCTTTCATTCCAACCGAGCGTTTAAATGCTCACTTTTTGGCAGAGCAATAGCAAAGCTGTGGGTCATATGGCTGCTGCTGGGGGCTGAGCGCAGGGAGCAGTTCTTCCCTGTGTAATACTCAGCGGCTGGGGACTCCATGAGCAGCGCGTAGGACTCCTCCAGCACACGACGAACTCCCTCAGCAGTCGAGGGCACGTACGCTGAGGGCCAGTGGGAGTCCATGAGGGCAAGCATCTCCTTATGGACTCCTGAGGATGATGACCTGAGGGAGAAGTGGAGTGGAGTGAGTAGAAAGTGAATATTTCTGCGGTGTGAGTAGAAAGTGAATATTTCTGCGGTGTGAGTAGAAAGTGAATATTTCTGCGGTGTGAGTAGAAAGTGAATATTTCTGCGGTATGAGTAGAAAGTGAATATTTCTGCGGTGTGAGTAGGAAGTGAATATTTCAACGGTGTGAGTAGAAAGTGAATATTTCAGCGGTGTGAGTAGAAAGTGAATATTTCTTCGGTTTGAGTAGAAAGTGAATATTTCTGCGGTGTGAGTAGAAAGTGAATATTACAGAAAGTATGAGTAGAAATGAACCAATGAATATAAGAATGAAATATATATATATATAGAATGATTTACATTCAAGCAATTCAGTCGTTACTTTCGAAGAGCTGTTTGATGGCAGAAAATTCAGTGAAATCTGAAAAACGTTTCAAATAATTAGAAGCCCTGCAATTGTTCACATTAATAATGGTCGTTATAATCACTAATAAATTTCTACATTTTTATTTTGATTGCTGTTAATACAAGCGAACGTAAATGGTTTAAATGAAGCCATTGTATTATTATTCCATTCAATGCTTGACTTGAATCCTTCAGAGGGAAAACTTATTTTTTTTGAAAAATTTATTTCAATTTATTGAATAAGAAATATAAATTTTGCATATTAAAAAATTAGGATCTTGATGAATATAGGACAAATAATTTGTCCTATTTTGAATGGAAGCATTGAATGGAATAATAATACAATGGCTTCATTTAAACCCTTTACGTTCGCTTATATTAACAGCAATCAAAATAAAAATTCAGAATTACTATCAGTGGCTATAAATAATCCAAATTACTTTAGATTCGCTTCAATAGATTCAAAACTTATTAAAAACTGTTAAAGCCCCAATGACATTTTACCAATATATCGATAATTAACTCAATAAATGTATTTATTCTGATCTCTCATACATATTTACACACGCAACCATGAAATTTAAAAGAGCACAGAATATTCATATTACAGAGAAGATTTTCATTCATTACTAATTCATTCCTGATCCATTCTCAAGTGAAATGAAAATTTACTTTTAAAACAAGTTTATTAATCCATGGAGTTAACTCGCCTGGTTTTTGTGTTAAAAACGCATTTAAACTTTTTTATAATTTAAAATTTAAAAATTTGTTGCAAAAAAACGGGGTAACAAAATAAACGAGTTTCGATCAATTTATTTACTCATTGGGATTTGCAACAGTGAGAGCAGCCCCCTCCCCCTGGGGGACTCAACCCTCCCTAACTCCCTAATGTTGGGAGTTATTATGAGGGAATGCCTCATAAATCATTGCTACGCTGTTATTACGCATCATAATCACCATTTAGCTGCCCCGTTCATCATTAATCTTGCTTCCATTTTACGACAGTCGATGGTGACTCACGGGTCACGAACACGACATTTGTAGGAGCAAATTAAGAAATAAAACGTAATAAATTTCAAGAAGGCAATTTCGCAAAGAAATATCGTATATATTTTCATAGAAAGCGAATAAATCACAAGTTTTATTTCATCGAACTGCAGTTCCCGAGAATCATTATTTATTTTAATCATTAATCATAAAAAAATCATTTCATAAGTTATCAATGCGAACGGGTCACAAAAAATTTGCACCAAGATTCCAAGTTTGAACCGGCTTCGTAAATCTTCCCCAGAATTGGTTATTTTAAAAGTAATCAAATTTCAATCCTATGTTATCTAATAAAAATGTTAGAGAAAATATTCAAGCGAAGCATGGAAAATACGGCCATGGTCAGGATAGTCATGCCATTAGAATCTTTATAGCATCTGTTTTTCTTATTTTTTCAAATTTTGAGAACAGTATACAATACAAAATATAGATTAACGTGTTCAGATTATTAAAACTCGTTCATGATATCAGGATCGTTGTTACATAGGTTATCCGTTGAAAAAATTACAGCTTAAATAAATTAATAAATAAACAAACAGGAACGCCTTCATGTCGTTAGAATTTTTTTCCATTTATTAAATTTTCACAAAATCAAAGCTAAAACTATAACATACCTAGTAAAGTAAAAGTAAAAACGTTCATATGCGCACCGCAGTATCCGCTGTAAAGTAGCAGTAAAAACGTTCATATGCGCACCGCAGTATCCGCTGTAAAGTAACAGTAAAAACGTTCATATGCGCACCGCAGTATCCGCTGTAAAGTAACAGTAAAAACGTTCATATNACACGGCCGACAAGTTAGCGATGTAACAGGACATTGTCACGGCAGTGAACAACCACATCACGATCATCACGGCCCTCGACGAAACCGCGCTGTGGATATTGAAACACGGCCGACAAGTTAGCGATGTAACAGGACATTGTCACGGCAGTGAACAACCACATCACGATCATCACGGCCCTCGACGAAACCGCGCTGTGGATATTGAAACACGGCCGACAAGTTAGCGATGTAACAGGACATTGTCACGGCAGTGAACAACCACATCACGATCATCACGGCCCTCGACGAAACCGCGCCGTGCATATTTAAAAGAAATTTCTAAACTAATTGATGAAACCAAACTGGGGAAATTTATTGAAACAATTTTGCTTCTCAGTCTAAATTGCCGCAAAAATTACGCAGCAAACGCGTTGGATTTCAATAATTCTACTTGTTTAGCTTTTTTTTGCAGATCAGAATTAAATATTGGGGGTATAGAATCATGTAAAAGAGCCCTACTCAACTCTTGTCATCAGATCCAAAGACCAAAATATATCATGATAACCTTCATAGAGATAACCACAACAGAAAAATAACCATTATAAAATAAAAGCAGCCATAAAAAGATAATCATCATAAAAGAATAACCACCATAAAAATATAATCACAATGAATAGATAACCGCCATAGAATTGACTTGTCCGCGATTGTAAATATGGACACAATTGGCCATCACGGTCGGTAACTCAAGGAAGCCTGCGGCTAATGGAACGCAAACCTCGTTAGGTTCGGTCAAGACGGCCCTGTAATATCAGGCCGCTGGTGTTTATTAGCAAGAGTTTAAGAACAAACATAGAAGCAGATAAATTCAACACGAGTTTATTGAAAACAGATCCAATGCAGTATGGACAATTTAGCTGGCATTTGTTTTATTTGAAATTTATGGGTAATTTACGATTTGAGCGAAATAATGATATAAATAAATGCCTTTTTTACAAACCAAGTCGACTTTTGACTCATTTTAAATTGACACAATGATTATGAACAAAAAATATGCAGTGGCACACATGATAATTTAATAATTTAAAAAAAAGTTAATCACTATTTCAAATTCATTAATTATATTAAATTTTAAATTTATTTCACATTCAACAATCACCTGGAGTTGTGCTCCCCGCAACCCGCGGCTCCCAGCCTACGCAGGCCGCGTCTCTGAAGGCTGAATAAAAGATGATTAGTGAATTAAATCTAATTAAACATTAACTAATTGTTTTCATATAACTTAATAGACAATTAAACAAATAAATTAATCACACGAGCCGCAAATAAAATTTTGTTTATAAGTTTAAATATTTAAAAGTCAGATGCATGTCCTACTTCTCAGCCTGATGGTCCAAGAACTCCTGGAAATTCCTTAATAATACTTTAAATTAATTATTATGTGGATTTTAAATTTATATATTGCAGTATTTGTGCATAATAGGAGGTGTGTATCAGTGATAATGAAGGAAATATTCGACAGAGCGCAGCAGAACGATAGAATGATAATGAAACGTTAAAAATGGAGACTTTGATAATGTTTTGTGCGATAATGGTGAGCGTGATAAAGGTGGTGTGATAATTGCGGGCATGCAAGTGGAAATAGGTATGATCTGATGGTGGTTTATTGATGCTGATTGTCGATAATGATTGCCGTAAATGATGATTGTCGATAATGATGATTGTTGACGATGATGATTGTCGATACCTATGATTGTCGATAATGACGTCTATCGATAACGATGATTGTCGATAATGATGCTTATCAATGCTGATGAGTGTCGATAATGATGATTGTCGATAACGATGTTTGTCAATGATGCTGATTGTCGGTAATGATTATCGACAATGATGTAAATAATGAATCTTTTGGTCGACAATAACCGATTTAAAATTACAGTTCATGATATCAAATGGTTAAACCTATTTTATTTCGGTTTATATCACTAATATTTTAATGCTTAATCTTATTACAAAAAGTCTTCTCATTACTAATTTACCCATAGAATAAATAAACTCATTCCTGAATTGTTAGAATAACTCGTATACTAGAAAATTTATTCCTCGAATACTTAAGCACTCATTAAATTCTTTTCTGAGTTATATATCCCAACCACGAAACAAACTCTTGATGAAGTGAAATAATTATTTACACACCATAGTTCCACTAGTGTGCACTAGTTCCACTAGTACACAGTAGTTCCACTATTTAGTGCACACAAGTTCCACTAGTGCACGCAAGTTCCACTAGTGCACGCAAGTTCCACTAGTGCACGCAAGTTCCACTAGTGCACGCAAGTTCCACTAGTGCACACTAGTTCCACAACGACACACTAGTTCCACTAGTACACACTAGTTCCACTAGTACTCACTAGTTCCACTAGTCCACACTAGTTCGACTAGTACACACTAGTTCCACTAGTAAACATTAGTTCCACCTGTACGCACTAGTTCCACTAGTAAACACTATTTCCACTAGTACACACTAGTTCAACTTGTACACACTAGTTTCACTAGTACACGCTAGTTCCACTAGTGCATACTAGTTCCACAAGTAAACACTAGTTCTATTAGTAAACACTAATTCCACTAGGGCACACTAGTTCAACTAGTACACACTAGTTCCACTGACAAACACTAGTTCCACTAGTAAACACTAGTTCCACTAGTACACACTAGTTCCACTAGTACACACTAATTCCACTAGGGCACACTAGTTCAACTAGTACACACTAGTTCCACTGACAAACACTAGTTCCACTAGTAAACACTAGTTCCACTAGTAAACACTAGTTCCACTAGTACACACTAGTTCCACTAGGACACACTAGTTCCATTAGTACACACTAGTTCCACTAGTAAACACTAGTTCCACTAGTACACACTAGTTCCACTAGTACACACTAGTGGAACTAGTACGCACTAGTTCCACTAGTACACACTAGTTCCACTAGTACACACTAGTTTCACTAGTAAACACTAGTTCCACTAGTAAACACTAGTTCCACTAGTAAACACTAGTTCCACTAGTACACATTAGTTCCACTAGTACACACTAGTTCCACTAGTACACACTAGTTCCACTAGTACACATTAGTTTCACTAGTACACACTAGTTCCACTAGTACCCACTAGTTCCACTAGTACACATTAGTTTCACTAGTAAAGACTAGTTCCACTAGTAAACACTAGTTCCACTAGTACACATTAGTTTCACTAGTACACACTAGTTCCACTATTACACACTAGTTACACTAGTACACTCTAGTTCCACTAGTACACACTAGTTCCACTAGTACACACTAGTTCCACTAACAAACACTAGTTCCACTAATAAACACTAGTTCCACGAGCTTCTACATCGCTTGTACACATCACCTACCTGTTGATGTAGGCGTAGATGAGGGCAAGAAGGGCGTATGTGATGGCGGTTGCCAGCCACAGCTCGAGTGATAGCGGCGACAACAGCAGCGTGTACGGTGATGCAGGAGCGTCTGGTCTATACAGCGCTGATAGGCCTATATTACATGGAAAATATTAAAGTCTGGTCTATACAGCGCTGATAGGCCTATATTAAATGAAAAATATCGAATTAGACATCTTTTTATTTTCGTATTCACAAGTTTTTTATGCTCTCGTTAAAAAAATCGGATAATCGTTCGGTTCCAGCCGTTATTTAAAAAATTAAAAGTCGGTTTCAAAAAGAGCTACAAATTATGTTATGTTGGTGCCTTTTTCAACTACTCATTCTATGCAATGATATTAGGTTATATTATTTAAAATTTTATCGTTCATTTTATTCGTATAATGATAACTCCTACCAAGGTCTATGATTTGAAAAATATAGTAACTCCTACCATGTTCAATTAACAATGCATGCGAATAATTCTTATAAAGCATCAGGGATGCGTTGATATCTAAAAGTCATGGTTGGTATTTTTCATGTTCTCAGTCACATATAAGGACCATCGTGTTCATAATTCAGGTGAAATATTTTATTTGTGCTGCCCGTACAGTTTCTACTGACCTGATCATGTTACGCGAGATCAATGTCTGCATTGATATTGGTGATACGTTGGGTCAGCAAAAACTAATATAACTAACATTGAACGATATCAATATTTATTTATATCTTTCAGAATCCCGCAACTCTGCTGGAGACCAAAAATCACTCCAGCAAAGTTCCAGTCTTCAACAAAAGTTATATAATGTACATATATTATCCCTGCAGTGTAACCATGAATGCCACATTGCATATAAAAGTTTAGGACATTTTCCGCGGATATCATTTAATCATCATCGCTATTTATGAATGAAACTTAAACATTTACCGTAGCTCATCCAAGGGGAACTGAAGTCCACTGCCCTCTGGCGGTCGCTGGTGATGGGCAGATCAGCGATGATCATATCAGCCCTCTGTTACGAGGGTAAGAGGGTAAAGAGGTCAGTAGGGTCTAAATTGAGCTGAGGGTAAGTTGGTCATTAGGGTCTAAATTGATCTGAGGGTAAGTTGGTCATTAGGGTCTAAATTGATCTGAAGGTAAGTTGGTCATTAGGGTCTAAATTGATCTGAGGGTAAGTTGGTCATTAGGGTCTAAATTGATCTGAGGGTAAGTTGGTCATTAGGGTCTAAATTGGTCTGAGGGTAAGTTGGTCATTAGGGTCTAAATTGATCTGAGGGTAAGTTGGTCATTAGGGTCTAAATTGATCTGAGGGTAAGATGGTCATTAAGGTCTAAATTGATCTGAGGGTAAGTTGGTCCTTAGTGTCTAAATTGGTCTGAGGGTAAGTTGGTCATTAGGGTCTAAATTGATCTGAGGGTAAGTTGGTCATTAGGGTATAAATTGGTCTGAGGGTAAGTTGGTCATTATGGTCTAAATTGATCTGATGGTAAGTTGGTCATTAGGGTCTAAATTGATCTGAGGGTAAGTTGGTCATTAGGGTATAAATTGGTCTGAGGGTAAGTTGGTCATTAGGGGCTAAATTGATCTGAGGGTAAGTTGTCATTAGGGTCTAAATTGGTCTGAGGGTAAATTGGTCATTAGGGTCTAAATTGATCTTGGGGTCAATTGGTCATTAGAGTCTAAATTAATGTGAGGGTAAATTAGTAATGAAGGTATAATTTATTCTGAAAGTATTTGTATGAACAAGTAAATTTATCATATTGTAAATTGCTTACGAATATTAATTAAACTGAGGGTAATTGGCAGTGAGGATGATGAAAATTTTTGATTAATTTAATATGTTACGAAAATTAAGAAAGGTAACATAAGTTGTTAACGGAAAATTATGAAATAAAGTAATCATATGATATAGTTTTATCAGAACGAATTTCTTAATGAGATCAAGTGTACGTTTCTATGACACCAGATGTGAGGACGAAGTAGAACTACCGATATTTCGATATTTAAAAAGAATGATATTAATTAGAAATTAAGTTTTCTAAATAATAAACCTCTGAGTCAAAGAAACCGCCGTAAAGGCTATCACCTTTTCAACAATCTCTCCAATGAGTCCTGTCCATCGTTGTTGAGTTGGGTTGAACTCGCCGTACTCATCCAGCGCAGGGTTGAAGGTGTAGTTGAAACCCAGCAGCCTGGATATTTCCCTCGCCAGGTCGACGCTGATGCCCTCGTAAGCAGAACTCGACCCCTCAGCTGCCCTCATGGCGAAAGGGGGCGACTAGAAATGATGAAATAAGCAAAAAGTATAAGTTTAAAAGAATAAAATTTGTTAAAATTAGTTGAGAGACTTTTAAAAATTGGTATAAGTTTATTGAAATAAGATAAATGATAGTTATTAATACACAAAATAAGCACAATCAGGATTATTGAAAGGAAATAAGAATTTTTAATAAAAATATAACATTGCACATTCATAAATTATAAGTTTTGTGATAATTAAAGGTAATAACCAATGATGATCTGCCACTTGAATTATCCACTCACCAGAATGGACAGGATTTTGAGTTGCGAGTTACGCATCGATTTCACCGCTCGACGTGCGGCAGAGTCACCAGGTAGCGTGAAATTATGCGTTGAAACGCACCAGTCCAGAGAAGCCGTACAGCTCAACCTTAACATTCAACGTTAAAACATGCGTTGAAACGCACCAGTCAAGAGAAGCCGTACAGCTCAACCTTAACATTCATCGTTAATACATAATCAATGATTTTTAATGTTTTCTTTCCTACAATTTATATTCAAACAATCATTTTATTACTAAAAAGCCCAACTACAAAACGTACAAACATCATCAAATGATTATACATGCTATTGATATTCAAATTTAAATTTAGTGCAGTTATTTTTTAAAGCACTTTTATTTTACTGGAAATAATTTTATTGATGCATGGATGATTAATGAATTTAATTCATTAATAATCCCTGCAATTTTAGAGTCCTGTTATCCCGCATCCCTTAATAATACAAATCGTGCCTATGCAAACGAAAAAAAAAAATCGCTGTTCGAACACACATTTTACATTCAACATATGGGTGTAAAACCTATATAAATATAATATACAACCTACTTTGATTCTTGATTCAGAATTTAAAACTATTTCGGATGATTTAAATTAGATTTCTAGAGTGAAGTAAATTGCCTGACCCACTTGTTGTTGAATCGACCAGAGTGAATCGACTAACCCACTTGATGTAATTGACTGACCCACTTAATGTAATTGACTGACCCACTTGACGTACTTGACTGACCCACTTGACGTTCTTGACTGACCCACTTGATGCACTTGACTGACCCACTTGAAGCACTCGACTGACCCACTTAATGCACTAGACTGACCCACTTGAAGCACTTGACTGACCCACTTGAAGCACTTGACTGACCCACTTGAAGCACTCGACTGACCCACTTGAAGCACTTGACTGACCCACTTGAAGCACTTGACTGACCCACTTGAAGCACTAGACTGACCCACTTGATGTAGTTGACGAGTGTGGCTCCAAGTGGCCAGACTTGCTCCTTGGAGCAGTTGAGCGGCAGCACTTGACTGACCCACTTGAAGCACTTGACTGACCCACTTGATGTAGTTGACGAGTGTGGCTCCAAGTGGCCAGACTTGCTCCTTGGAGCAGTTGAGCGGCAGCACTTCGATGGCCCGCGTCTTGTCGAGGTCGCTGAGCGCTCTGGCGAACAGCTGCACCGCGTCGTACACCAGCGCCAGGTCCGTCTGCCGGTCAATTGGAAAATAATTCAATCCAAAAAGAAAATTCATAGCAAATTCAACATATTTTCCGATGGAAATAGGGACGAATTGACTGAGAAAGAAATACCCAGAAGAAAAATCATAGCAAATTGAACATATTTTCCGAAGCAAGTAGGTGTGAATTGACTAAGATTTCAATCTCCAAACGGTAATTTAAAGCGAATTCAACATGGTTTCCTGAAAAAAATACTAAGGTGAATTTCCCAAGTGCTAGCTCCATCTGGGGATTAATTTTTAAAGAATTCATTCCCTAGAGAAATTAAAAACGAATTATGGCTGATATTGATATGGCTGATATGATATTTCTCTATGGGAGTGGCTGATTTTTCATCCTAAAAGGGTTGAATTCATTCTAATATTTTCTCTAAGGGATGTTATAACGATGTTAGGGAATAGTATAGATTTATTCGTATTTTATAGTAACGATTTTTCCATTTTCAGTTAGAGTTTTCCATGTTTTAGGTTATGCAAACATCCGGTATTCATTCATTCATGTTTTAGACTTTAGCTGGAGCGGACTGTACGGCACAACGCAATTGTAAATACGTGTTTTACCAAATAAATTGTGAATAATCCGTGTCTTATATGTACTGAAAACCTTTCCTGACCGTATGAGAAATGATTAAGAAGTAGTCCCCCAGCAACGATAAATTTCACAAGCGCCAGCTCCGTCTAGGAGCAAAATCATTCACTAATAAGAATTCAATGGCAAAACAAAAGTTAATAAGGCGACTTCAATCTATTTTTCTAAAGTGAAACAATGGAATGACTTTGGTTATCTTATATTTATTTATAAAATTCTTTCATTATTTTGAGGGGCTGCGGGAGGTCCAGACTGTGGAAAAATTTCCTGGCAAAGAAAGATTTTGTGAGCAAAGGTATAATGAAAATATAAATGAAAATACAGTTTGAAAAATTAAATATAGATAAGTATTTTGAATTTTTTTACGTCACAAATATAATTCTAGCGAATATTGAATTATGTTTGACTGGAAACTTTTAACTTCTTAGAATTCTGATGATCCACTATAAAACTTTTTGAACTACGAATGAATTTATCATTTGAAATTAAAAGGAAAACTTCGATTAATATTCAAAAAACATTAGCAACTCCTTGCTTGAAAAATGTCATCGATCTATCCACATGTTAACACCCAAAACGTTTACGCTTCATGATTTGAAGTTATGTTCAAACCAACAATTTTCGGAAAATTTCACAACTTTCTTAAGTTCGCTGAAGTTCGTAAACTTCATAACTTAATAAAGTTCATGAACTTCAAAACTTAGTCAAGTTCTCTCACCGGCATCGCACTGAAGTTCGTAAACTTCACCAGAGTCGTCGAGATCAGCAGACCAATCGCGCAGAATTTGCTGCAGAGTTCCGTCACTGAGGTTAATGAGACGCAGAGCTGTGGTGTTGGTGCCAGAGTATTTGAAGTCTTCCAGGTCCACAGTGTGCAGGTCCTGGTGCGGTGAAATGATGGGGAGGGTTCTTAGCAAATTTGAATTAATATTTAGATTATAATATCATATTGTACCATATTTATATCACAATAATCCATCTTCATTCTAAAATACCCGATAAGTTCAATTGCTTCAAATAATTTCCATCAAAACTGATCACAGTAGAACATCATATTTGGATTTTCAGGGTATTTAAAATGGAAATGATTTATCGCAGCATAAATCACAGCATTTAATGAAATCTTCCCTAAACACTGTATACATAGTGTGGGAAAATTATGCTCTAGATACCATGTGCTCTTTGTAACAATTTCAGTAAAATAGTAAGAAAAATCAAAATTAATTTTTCTAATATTGATTAGCATTGACAATTGATAATTTTTAGCGCATTTTCTCATTTATGAAAAAATGCACTATTGTGCTCGCCATGTCCGTCTGTCTGTCCGTCTGTCCGTCTGTCTGTCCGTCCGTTCGTCCGTCCGTGACTTCAGGTTTCGTCGACGAGAAAATGCGCTCTCTGTCAGTCACTGCAGTGAGTACTGAGTTATATATTTTTTTAATTAGATCAGTTCTCATTGCAGTGAGTGACAGAGACTGCATTTCTCGTGCATCCGTCCGTCCGTGAAATCACGGACGGACGGACATGACGAGCACGATAGAGCCTTTTTAGCGCATTTTCTCATTTATGGAAATAATGCACTATTGTGCTCGCCATGTCCGTCTGTCTGCCTGTCTGTCTGTCTGTCCGTCTGTCCGTCCGTCCGTGACCTCAAGTTTTCGTCGACGAGAAAATGCGTTCTCTGTCACTCACTGCAGTGAGTATTTAGTTATATTTTTTTATATATGAGAAACTGCGCAGAAAAACTGTAAAACTGTCCACAATTTATTTTAAAAACCAATTGTAGAATATGAGGATCAAAGAGTGATAATGGCTATAATGGAGGGGAGTGCTCACCAAAGAAGTAATGAAGTAGTGGTGATAGGCCGTCATCAGGCCTATCTGCTGCGCCTGCTTCAGCAGGGAATGTATTTTGGAGCGATGAACTTCAAGCAGGATGTGCACAATTCCTGATAACTTGATTGCCTTCAGAAGCTCCCTGAGCAGGGGTTATTAGAATTCAGGAATATACAGTAACTCAATTTAAGGTAATGGCGAGGAAAACAGTGTAATGACATTTTCACTGCAGTAATGTTCAGTATAAGAAATCGAAGTCACAAATCAGATATTGTTGTTGGAAATGTAATACAAAATAAATGATAGTAAGAGACACAATATTACAGTACGAGGCATTTTAAGACTGAACATATGCTCATGCATGGCCTTGTCTAGTCTGTTCTTGAACGCGTTCATACTCGGAGCGTCAACAATATCTTCAGGGAGGCTGTTCCACATGTCAGTGACTCGAAGCGAGAAGAAATGTTGTCGCGTGGATAAGTTGAACCGCAAATACAAACGAAATGATACTAAGAGACATAATATTAATTACGCATTATACTGAATTCTTCTAATGTTCGAGAAATTCATGCATGTTAGTTGATGAAGGCGTATATTTCTAAAGTTAATATAAATGAAGATATAATAAGGATATTTGATATTAAATGTAAACTACTGAATTATTCATTTCTTATTATTATATTCTCTCTTCAAATTTATTTTTACGTATCTAATCAAATAAATACTTCGCCTATCTGCACATATATTGTCCAGAACTTCTCAAATGGTTTCTTCATTTCATACTAATTAGAACTCTTTCAATTCATTAATTTAATTTCTCCAAGTGCACTCGGAGAAATGAACGATATTTTGTCCAAATAGCAATGTACTTCTTGTTCCTACGTGAGTCATCCTCACCCAGCTTGACCCTTCAAATGGCGTATCAGTGCTACCAGCTGAAAGTGTCAATACTTGGACTATATGACCCATCAATAATTTTCACTGTGTATATTTGATTTCAACTGATCCTAAAAGATAGCCTGTATCTCTGTGTATATTTAATTCAGCTCATCCTGAAAGATAACCCATATCTTTGTGTATATCCGATTCAACTTATCCTAAAGGATATCCTGTATCTCTGTGTATATTTGATTCAAGTGATCCTAAAGGATAACCTGTAATCCAGGCCGCGAGGCAGGTCCCTGAGCGTGACCCTGAAGGCGTCATCTTTAAGGAGTTCCTTCACCCGCAGGAGTCCTTCGCTGGAGTCGCACACCACAACCAAGTCCTGCCACCCCAGCGCCTGTAGGACCGACCTGTACGCCTGGGAGGGGAGAGGTATGTAACGTGGGGTAGTGGCGTGCTGGGGTGTGGGATTGGTGGGTTATTGGTGGGTTATTGGTGTATTATTGGAGTGTTATTGGTGCGTTATTGGTGGGTTATTGGTGTGTTATTGGTGTGTTATTGGTGGGTTATTGGTGGGTTATTGGTGTGTTATTGGTGTGTTATTGGTGTATTATTGGTGTGTTATTGGAAAGTTATTGGTGTGTTATTGGTGTGTTATTGGTGTGTTATTGGTATGTTATTGGTGGGTTATTGGTGTGTTATTGGTGCGTTATTGGTGGGTTATTGGTGTGTTATTGGTGTGTTATTGATGGGTTATTGGTGTGTTATTGGTGCGTTTATTGGTGTGTTATTGGTGTGTTATAGGTGTTTATTGGTGTGCTATTGGTGTGTTATTGGTGTGTTATTGGTGTGTTATTGGTGTGTTATTGGTGTGTTATTGGTGTGTTATTGGTGTGTTATTGGTGTAAGTTATTGGTGTGTTATTGGTGTGTTATTGGTGTGTTATTGGTATGTTATTGGTGGGTTATTGGTGTGTCATTGGTGTGTTATTGGTGTGTTATTGGTGTGTTATTGGTGGGTTATTGGTGTGTTATTGGTGTGTTATTGGTGTATTATTGGTGTGTTATTGGTAGGTTATTGGTGTGTTATTGGTGTGTTATTGGTGTGCTATTGGTGTGTTATTGGTGTGTTATTGGTGCGTTATTGGTGTGTTAATGGTGTGTTATTGGTGTGTTATTGGTGTGTTATAGGTGTTTATTGGTGTGCTATTGGTGTGTTATTGGTGTGTTATTGGTGCGTTATTGGTGTGTTATTGGTGTATTATTGGTGTGTTATTGGTGTGTTATTGGTGTGTTATTGGTGTGTTATTGGTGTGTTATTGGTGTGTTATTGGTGTGTTATTGGTGTGTTATTGGTGTGTTATTGATGTGTTATTGATGTGTTACGTGTGTGTTATTGGTGTGTTATTGGTGTGTTATTGGTGTGTTATTGGTGTGTTATTGGTGTGTTATTGGTGTGTCATTTGTTTTTTATTGGTGTGTTATTTTCGTGTGATGGTAGGGGTTATTTGCGTGTTGGGGTATGTTATTGGGATGCAACAGAGGTGCTGGGGAATGTTATTGGAATGCTATTTGGGTGTTGGGGTGTGTTATTGGGATGATATTGGCAGGCTTGGGTAGGTGGAGAGGCTTAATGGTGCATTGGGATGGTAGATGGTGTTATTGTAGAGTTGGGATTAGTATGATGTGTTATTGTGGTGTTGGAGGTGGTAGGGAGGGTTTTTGGAGTGTTAGGGCGGTGGGGTGTTCAATGGTATTAGGAATTGGCAACTTCAGCCGAGAAAAACTACCGTTTTAGCGAATTTTCTCATTTATGAAAAAAATGCGATATTGTGCTCGTCATGTCCGTCAGTCCGTTTGTCAGTTCGTGACTGCACGGAAGGACGAGAAAATGCGCTTTGTGTCACTCACTGCAGTGAGTACCGATCTAATTTTTAACATAACCATAGGCCATGTTCAAGATAGCTAAACAAATGTCACATGAAAAACATCTTTAGTTGACGTTGTCCAATCATTTGCTGCCTGTGTTTCAGTGACTGTTCAGTGACTGTTAAATGACTGTTCAATGACTGTTGAATGGCTGAATATATATAGTAACTGTTAAGTTACTATTCAGTGACTGCTCAGTGAATGTCCAGTGATTGTTCAGTGAATGTTGCAGAGAACTGAGGTTAGATCACAGCAGCTGAGGGTGAGGGGAGGCGGTGGATCAATCATTAACCTCATGCGGTGAAGAGAAATCCACGGCTGTCAGGGGAGATTGATTGCCGATTGCTTTAATGTGGTGAATACGACTCATGGAGCCCAGGGTGGCACGGCGAGGGTAGAGATTGATTGCCGATTGCTTTAATGTGGTGAATACAACTCATGGAGCCCAGGGTGGCACAGCGAGGGTAGAGATTGATTGCCGATTGCTTTAATATTGTGGATGTAGCTGACAGCCACGCATGCGTTAGGATTGAGGGTGGAGATTTCTCGGCCATCATACTTATCATCTGCTGGAGAGTGGAGATTGATTAGCTATCGGTTTAATACAACAAATACGGATCATATGGACCTACGGCACAACTACGTGCGTATTTGTACCGTGTGTACAAATACGTACACACGTCAAATACAAATACGCACACACAGTATCTGAAGTTGACTCACGGCGGCCAGGGTTGACGGAAGCGGGTGGAGATTGATTGGTTATTGTTTTAATATGGTATAAATACGGGTAATATGGCATAAATACGGGTTAATATGGTATAAATACGGGTTAATATGGCATAAATACGGGTTAATATGGTATAAATACGGCTTTGCGCAGTATCTGGAGTTGACTCACGGCGGCCAGCGTTGACGGGGGCGGGTGGAGATTGATTGCAAAGGGCGGCCGTCTGTTCTGCCAGCGCGCCATAAGCAGCGGCACCTCCAGATGGTCGCAGGCAGTCTGTACGCTGCCGCCATCTGTAGACCCTGCGAATATGGCCGCTACGCCGGTCTGCAGCATCGCGCACGCTGGCCA